TAAATTAATAAACATATTTCAAATAATTAAACAAAATTTCTCACCACTTGTTTGTTATTCTGTTCTATATGTACTTCCATGTCTCTTTTAGCTCTGCTGTTAACTAGTTTTGGTAAGGCATATTGCACATAAAACATTTTAATTTTATTTTGCACTTTTTCTTCCCAAAAGTTGTCATTAAGAGGAATTTTCTCCACTTTTATTGCATGAAGAGTCCAAACGCACAAAATGCAAAAATCCATTTGTGTAATGTGTAAATACCAAATGTGGTTCTCCTTAAAGGTATTGTTCTTATTCCAAAAATTTATTTCTCTGCTGGATATTCCGTCTTCTACAGTCGGCACTCTAACTCTATATGGATATTTTAACTCTAACTAGAGTTTCGTTTTTTGTTTAAAATTTCATCCAGACTGACAGCAACATAATAAAATTCGGAATCAATAAAAATTCCACATTTAAAAACTTTTTCTTGCAAATAAATTTTCAAATGTTATTTTGCTCTGGATTTATTGTCCATGCCACATTGGGCGGCTTTAGCAAAAGATTTTATGAGATTTCTGCTCTGGATTTATTGCCCATGCCACATTGGGCGTCTTTAGCAAAAAATAAAATATTTTATGATGTTTCTTAAAGAAGACCTCTCCTTCTTTTACAAATATCTCCAAATTTTGAAGCAGTGACTTGTTTTCGTCTTTCATTGTGCCGCAATGATTTCGATCTCGTGTCATATTCGTTTTTTTTTTCTCATCTATAGACATTGGCAACTTTTTAGAAAATTAACAAAATGGGTAAAAAAGTCGAAATTTGTATTTTTTTTAACCGACTTCAAAAAAAGGAGGAGGTTATCAATTCGTCGCGATATTTTTTTTTTTCAGCGATTATTCTTTAACACGGTGTCCGTTGGGTCCATGGGAAAATCCTCAAACTCTTCATTTTTTATATATGTATAGCGATATTGCTTTACCACCTTGTCCGATTTATATGATTCTTTTTTTGTTAGTAAGGGGGTACCTCAGGGGTGGTCTCATATAAATTTGGTTAAGATGTGGTATCTGCACGTTTTTGAAGTCGGTTTTTTTAAATTTTTAATTTCTAATACTTGTTTTTAAACATATCACCTCCGTTATTACATTCTCACCTCCGTGAATGTACCCTTTTTAAAAATCCGTTGTTTCTTTGGAAAATGTTGGATAAAGTGTGTAATCTGGTGTCTTGTTTCATTTGTATGATTATACTTAAATTGTGTGTTGTAAAACAATTTTAAAAATAAAAAAAAAATAATATTAAAAATTAATTTTTTATTAAAAAAAAAGAAACTCAAAAACTGAAAATCACATATGTATCTAGAAATTCTGTTCTGCTTTTACATTTTAATTCAGATATACTATTTTCTAAAAATGGATTATATATACAGGGGTGTTTCATTGGTAAATAGACAAGCGACAATTATGGATTGGGGATACCAAGGTTTATCGATTTTGTTTATTTCTTTTAAAGGATTAACGAATCACCCAGTATATTTTTTGAAAAATGGTTTACCTACATGTTTTCACTGCTTAAACGATTAATGCAATAGCCAGTAGATAAATACAGGTTCGGATTAAACAAAAACCATTATAGAAGAATTTTCAAAATCCATTTTGATATTTTACAAAAGAACGAATCGTTGTCATTTTTTTTAGTTTTGTGTCCAATTCTACCGTTGCCATTTAAATTTTAAGCATACACTCAGATAGTACAAATAGGTCCATTTGACGTCATTCGATATACATTTTTGGATGTCTGGACGTCCAGAAATTGTTTTCTGAACAAATAACACACTTTTGAACATTCAGAGGAAGTCTCTTTCTGAAGTATATTTGGACGTTGCAGAAATACTAATGGACGTTCTTCTAACTTTTTTTTTATAAAATACTGGACATTCAAAAAATGTACATTCTTAGATTATATTCCGTTGAGACAACATACAACATTCCCACTTATTTTGCACAATCTCAACTCACCACACACTATTTTAGTTTATTAATCATATATATTTTATTTCCGCAACCCGCCATACACCATTATTTTTTATTAAATTAGAAATCGCTTGATCTGGGCGGGGATTGAACTCACGACACGTTGTTTAAAGTTCCACACTTTCAACCGCTATACAACCTCGACCAACGAGACACTTGAAAATTTGTTAATAGATATGATTATAATAGAATAAGATTTCAACTTTCCGCAGAAATATTGTCCAAATGAGTTGCCTAAGAAAATACTGTCGACTATTTCCCAGATGCGTCGAATATGCCCAAAATTTATTTAGCTCATCGCAGGTTAGGAAAATAAAAATGATCTTGATAATATTTATTTTTTTAGGCGGTATATCTATTAACATATTTTATTTTTTTAATAAAAAATAATTTTTATCCGGTAAACAAATGGGCGAAGGTCGAGCTTACTTTGTATCCTGTATTATCTACATATATTTAAATTTTATATATAGATTATGTAGTATGATAATACAACAGTCTAAATCAGTGGTACTCAATCTTTTTTGGTGAAGGAACCTTTTTGAAAAGCGAAATATTTGACAGAGCCCTAAAAAGTCCATATCGTCATTCCTCTAAGTGTCTCTAAAAAACAGGCCTCGAACCAGGTGAGAATAAGAAGTCATAAAGTAACGCAACACTAAGTAAGCAAAATATGCAGAAATCATATTCTCCTTCCTCAAAAAATAGGTCCTCCAAGCAAAAATCATATTATTCTCTTTCCTCTTAGTAATTTCTGACTACAAAAAAAGGTCCTCAAGTACTGCTTTTTTTATTATGACTATTATTTTCTTCGCGGAGCCCCAGGACTTTAAGTAGCGCTGATCTAAATTATTATTGCATGTCATAGTCTTGCATGACAAAGTAAGAATTTCAAATGAAATATTGAATACCCACCCCAGCGGTAACGTAAGTAGCAAGCGATCATGAGTATCTCCATCTATGACTGAACCCTTCTGGACTGTTAAGTTTGCAATATAAAGACTAAAGATAGTCGTCGTAAAAATAAGTGACTTGTATCTATTACTATACTGACCTGTATGCGATATTATTGAGAGTTATATAAAGTAACATCGTAAAAAACTACTTATGCAAGTATTGCAGATGTAGATATATGCGAGGGGCGGTAATGAATATTATATGGAAATTTAAACATATGTGCGATATTTAAGTACTGTTTTAAAAATATATCAAGAAAAGTCTTAAAAATGTTATAAAAAGACTGGTGTTTCATGTTAAGTGGGTACTAACACAAAGTTCGCAGTATACCTATAAAAAAAAACAAAATGTTATGAAAATTTTTAGTCCGATCCATATAGACATTTCAGATAACAAAAATTCCGACAGAGCTAAATTTTCTTGGGTACACCAGTAAAAATAAAGTGTCAAAAGTCCCCATTGATCCCATGAGTGCTAAAAAAGTTATTCAAGGTCAAAGTCAACATTTTTATTTTTTTTTTAGATTTTTCTCAAAAACGGTAAGTTTTATCAAAAATATAGCCCATGCAAAAATTGTAGATCATAAAATTTTCCCTATACTTATTTTCCTAAGAATCACCATTCCTAAGATATCGCCATTCTAAAAGTTGAAGGAGTTACATGATATGCACACATTTCCATACCACCTATGAGGTAGTGCACTTAGCGCTTTTTTTAAAATGGAGTCCCCTGTAGGTGTATTCCACGATCTGTTATGACGGGAGTTTTATAGGAAAATACTATATTCACTGCATGATATTGATATAGGTGATTATTTTAAACTGTGTTCAAATTTATGTTAATATTGTTACGCAGGTTTTTGGTATCACAATGTATTTCAACTCAACTTTTACAATAACTCAATTCAACTTTAACAATAACTTTCAACTGATAACATTAACGTATAACGTCTATCATAAAACTGAAAACTGACGTCAGGATCATCCTTAAATAGCTTGCTTGCCCTTCTCGAACTGTCATCTAGAATATTCTTGACGGGTAATGACATTTCCAGACATTTCAGGACTATTCCATCTTCTTTTACTTGTACTTTTACTTATAACGACCGCAGCGCACCATATTGTGATAGGTGACATTGCACTTCTTTTCATATTTGTACGTTTCCTATAACGGCCGCAGGCCACTGTAAGGTATAGTGTAACAATATTTTAATCTGATTTATACTCTTCACATTCTACTTCAACAGTCGATTTCGATCTCTTCTTCTTGCTGGATATCTATAAATTGTTCAACTGAAGATGATTCAGCAGTCTCTTTATCGATATCACACGAATCTTCGTCTATAACATTCGAACACGACAACCCTGCTCTTCTACAGCTACATTTAGCACTACAACCTTTTTTATAATTGCACAGAATAGTGTTTAGGAGTTTTTCCGGAGCATGTGGGAGAATAGTTTGAATTGGTTCCAAAATATTGTCCGTTAATTTCCAAGCACAGCCTTCGAGGTTTAGTTGGTTACCTAGCCATGTTTGAACTTGATATAATGCTCGATACAAGTGTTGGTAGCAGAAGCCGATGTTGGAGGAAGACAAGATAGTTGTACTTTTTTTTTGTTCTGAGTATTTTTTACAAAAGTCAAATATCTATACTTGTCTATACAATCGATTTTCTTTGGAGCTCCATAAACAGCAAGGAGAAAGCGAATTTCTTTTATGATTATTGTTAGAGGAGAAAAGTTAATTCCTTCAATTACTTTAGCGGAATCAGTTAAATCCAATCCATTTTTTCAAATCATTTAAGTACTGATGTTTTACCCCTTCTGAACATTGCTGACGTAGTAGTGCAGCCGGTTATCGTGTGTAAAAATAAAATATGGTTTTGGCATTTTGGATAAGTAGATAAAGTTTTTGAAGAGTATATTTCTGTTCGCTGTTAAGCCTTTTCTGGTTTTAGAAAGTAAATAATTTTATTAATTGCAGTCCGTGCAGTAAGTAGTACTAAAAAATCAACATCTTTACCAATCACAACATGGAAATAAAACGAGATTTATTATGAATGTTAGCAAGAAATTGTTGTTGGTTTGCTGGAACTGTCATAAATTGATCAAAGATGATGTCGGAACATGAAGATGTTTTCATATTCCGACGAAGTTGTTCTGCAGCTTTAATATTTTTTGTCGACTCACTATAGCTATCAAATACTACCGTCACTCTATGACCATAGTGTCTGTGTAGATACTGAACGTATTTTTTGGAAATAACGTTGAAGGTTTGTTCTCGATCCCACACAGCGTGATGTAACAGATATCCTCCATCGATAATATAAGTAGCATTTGTAGAATCAACTTCAGCATTAACTGATTTAAAGCAATCGTAAATTGCTGACTTTGGTGTTTTGCGCATTCCATGTGCATCAAAGAGTGATAACGGGTAAGGGGACAATTCATACCCGAAAAATTTTTAAATTTTATCTTCGAACGTCTTAGTGATACTCATGCAATGAAATAATAATACAGGATCTATACTTACCTCCTTTTCGTGAACTTTAATGGTGTTATTCACGGCTAAAAGAGGGATTACTTTTTCAAAGCGTTTTAATTTAATATTATTGAACGTTTTACCTATCATTTTGAACATAAAAGCAATCCCAACTTTACGAGCTTTATGTCAAGTAATGGTATTACCACCGATGACTCCACTAGCAATAGATAACATTTTGTTAATTTCGGGAAAAGAATCATGTGATGAAAACCACTCAAGAAGTTTTTTAATATCTTTAGCATCTTCCTTTACTCGAGAATCACTTGCATCTACATGCTGATCAGTTGTATCCATTCGAACATTAGCAAGAACTTCCAATTCGTCACACACAGTATTCATAACATGCATTCCATAAATCCATTTGCTTGTTACACTTTCTTTCGTCCGTCTGCTCCGAGAAATACCTCCATGTGTCTTCATCGATTTCATCATAGATTGTTCGATTATCAAAGTCTTAAAAGGGATTAAAATAAGGGTAGCCTATTGTTACGTTCCACGAAACCGGGCGGCACAGGTAAAATTCCTAAAATCAGCACACCTTATAACTGCCGGCTGTTTAAAATCACAGATTTTGTTTGAGCCGATTGTGCTGTAAAACACCCATAAAATTTTGATTTATTACTCCGTGTCGATTCCATTTCTACTATAAGGGACTTATGTGAGTTTTTTTTGAGTGTATATTCTCAGAATTGTATGATTTAAACATATAAGAGATACAAATAGGCATGTTTACTTATATTAAGTGCCTGACTATGTATATACGTGGTATTTGTGTGCATATCATGTAGAATGTATCTCCTTCAACTTTTAGAATGGCCGTATAGGGAAAATTTTTGTAGAAATTTTATGATCTACAATTTTTGTCTAGGCTATAGTTTTTATGAAAAATCTAAAAAAACCGAAAATTTTGACTTTGACCTTGCATAACTTTTTTAGCACCCATGGGATCAATGGGGGCTTTTGGCACTTTATTTCTACTGGTGTACCCAAAGTTTCTACCAAAACTTAACTCTATCGGAATTTTTGTTATTTGATCATTATTTTTATGTCTAAATTGAACGGGGTATTTTTACTGAAAATTGTCTTGCGTTGTGCTTCTCGAACGAATTGAGTATAGGCTAACAATTTGAAAAACATGTTCGCATGGTTTATCGCTCGGCTCATTTGTTTGCATCTCTTGTACTCCGCCTACTTTGAAAATGTTTGTCTTTATTTTCAATAGTCGAGTAAGGCACACCTTGTAAGTGTGTTTGGTTTATTGATGGTATTTTTGAATTAAATGCAGTGGTGCAGCCAAAGGGATTCCATATTCATCTTAATTTCGTGTACAAAATTATCGCGATACTAGTAGGTGCACAATATACTTTGGCCAGGTTCTAATACAAAGTATCACAACAATCCTAATTTCGTTTAATCTACACTTTATTCTCAACGTTGGTATTGTTTTTTTTTTTTTAATTTTATCAGCGTTATTTTTAGGGATAAATTGGAGTGACATCAATGGTTTTTTTCGTGACAAAGAAAAAGTAACACAAACGAACGTATTACACATTTTTGAAATCGTGCTTCAAAGAGATTTTATTTGACTAAGATGTTCTAACTTCCATGTGAGATCTTCCAAAATTGACCACCAAGATGAAAAAAATCCACTTTTTTATATCTGTATTTGGGCCACTACCTACTATAACAGTTTAAAATTTGAATTATGGAACAATAAAAAAATACAGAAATGACAACTTATTGTCCAACAGCATTATTATGTAATTTTATTAAAATTCTCGAAAATAGTATAGAAAGAAAGAAAAAATAATATCTGAATGTCAATTTGGTTTTCAGAAAGGAAAATGCACACAATATGCCGTTCTAAAATTGACACAAACAAATGAAGACACAAGTGGATAGAGGTAAAATGTCACGTTTTTAAAAAATGATTTTTATGACCTAATATATGGGCAGAACCGAGTTGGGTGCCGTTTAATCCGTACTATCTAAAATCTAAAAAGGGAGTTGGATGCTAAATACTATCTTGAATTGAATTTAAATCCATACAAATATCTGCCGTTGCTACCATATGTCCAGGAATATGAAGCAAACACAGAAAAATATTAAAAACATTTTACAATTTTTATTACATTAAATTACTAAGACTAATACAAATTAAGTAGGTACAACTAAAAATAAATTAATTAATTTTAAAATAATTACACTTATTTTATTTTTAGAAAGTTCATTCCCTTTAGGTTTACACATTTTATTCTTCTTAAAATATTTTTACCGTAAGGTTTGCTAATAATATTACTGCTTCTTATTTTAATATAAGTTCTAAGTTGGAACTCTAAAAGTACTGTTAAAAATTGGTGTTCGGTTGGATGAGAATTATAAAATGACTTATTATAATGACTATAAAATTATTCGCATGCATTTGTTGTTCTAGATAGGGCGGAAGAACAGGGTCGACGAAAGGGGGGGTGGTCGGGACAAATTCCCGGGGCCCGGCAGCGGCATATGGGGGCCTAGCAGCACGACGTTTTTTATTTTTTGTTAGAAGTTCACCACAAGAGCACACGAGAGAGGACTTTTTTTAGTGATTTCACTAAAGAGGAGGAGGAGAAGTTTTTGCTTGAAGACTGTTTTTTTTTACAAATTGTGATATTAAATGGGCTTGAATTGTCCCGGGGCCCGACCTGGCTCTCGGCTGCCCTGCGGAAGAATGTTCTGCCCAAATATGAGGTGGGAATTATGTTTCTTTGGCTATATAGTAATCTACTAGGTAATCACAAAATTTGGTAAAAATGGTAACCCGAAAACAGTATTTTCTGTTTCTGAATCATTTTTTAATTGGTATTTACATGACAGTCCTAACTCTTGAATTTTGTTTGTACCAAGATTGCCTTAAATGAAAACGACATCCTTTTTTCTCATATTCAGGAAAGACAAACTTTATTCCTTTATGAATTGCAGGTTCAAAATCTGCGGTTATGATTTTAGTTGAAAAACCTAAATTGCATTCTGGACATTCTTCCTTCATATATTCAAAAAATGACTTATATGTAGTCGGCTTTTATCGGGCAGTAAACTAAAAACCAAAGGAATGTAATATCCGCTTTGTAAACCATGTATTGTGAATAATTGTAAAAATACTTCTGGCAAATTTTGAAAACTGAAACTAAACATTGTAAATTACTTATACAAGAAAATATTTATTATATTGGTATGACATTCATTTGTCAACAAAAAATGTTCATGTTTGTTTGTTTCAATAGTATGATTAACAAAAAAAGCTTATCTTCGTTCGACAGACTGCGATCTTTATGTATTGCTTCTCTTTATTATCGTGTCGAGTTCGTACATAAGAATCCCTGTGATCAAATGGAAATTAAGTAAAATACTTATTATTAGTAAGATTTTCGTTATGGACAACGATAATGTAGTTCGCTACGTTGTTAGTAATGGTACGGATTTTAAGAAACTATCCAGGATAAAATTGTGTGATGTCGATATAATGCCAAAAATAATTAAAATTGAAGACTGGACGTGAGAATTTAATAACGAACAGCTTCGAACGTTTTTTTACGTGGTGCCAGAAACAGTTGATAAGCTACGTTAATATAGATAATGTAACTTCCAAATATGACTGAGAAAAATCTATAATCTTATCAAAAAACACTAACTAAATGGCACTTGTCATTATTAACCCACGTCCGGACTAAGGTATTTACCGGTTACAATTAATGACGTTTTAAAGGACCTAACTATGACGTCATAGAAAGTAACAAAGAAAAACCAACATCGCTTTAACTAAAACGAAATACTGCAAATTACAGTTCATCAAATTTCTAGAGGTGTTCGACGCCCAGACAGAGAACGCGCTACGTGTGACTAAGATAGCTATTGTACAGTCTGCTAAACAAGTTATTTTAAATAGTTTTTAATATTTTTAGGTAATTAAATTTTAAAAGTGTGGAATAGTTTAGGGATTAAATTGGTCTGATTGGACTTTCTTAGAACGTTTTTAAAAGCAGCTAAAGATAGTATGTAGAATTGAAAATAATTATTATGCCATAAAAGGTGTTTTGGAATTCCTTCAACCTTTTGAAATTGAGTCAGAAAATATAAATTTTATAGGATAGCGGAAAATACCTATAATTTTTTTGTACGCCTTTGTAAATCGTGGAAATAGTTTATATTTTATTTCTACCTTATTAAGGAAAATGGTACCTATTATTAATAACGGTTGTTTCTGAAACATTACTAAAATTTTCGAAATTTTGTTTTTCTACAAAATAATAAACTATACTATTTAGAAAAAAATTTATTTCTCTTATAATTTTATAAAAAATAACAGGGGAATATTTACATTTCTTGATCTATTAAATAAAACGATAAATTATCTCGACGAATGACACCATGTTCTAGTACGGAAGCTAGCTTTACATTTTTGTTGGTGGTTTCATGGGTTTCATATCAATTTTTTGTAATTGTAGTTTACACGTACATATACCTCTTAACACTTGTTTGCTTTATTAAAAATCTGATGTGTCCAACACATGACTTTCCTATCTAGTTAACCTATTGCAGCATCTCTAAAAATGTTTAGAGGATAAACTAAATATATACATTTTCCACATACATCTACCTCGAAACATTTTTCTATAGATATTCATTGAAAACGAAAATATTGAAAAATTTAAATTTAGCACTTTTCCTCCAATTTTTCCATTACGGTCCATTTTAGAAAAGTCATTTAAAAACAAAAATTATAGAGATCGATATCGCAAACAACTTTTAGTTCAACAATTTTCATAAAAATCAGAATTTTGCACATTTTGTCAAATTTCTCTAATACGGACCATTTCAGGAAA